GGGATCACAGCAGCTCTTGGGCAGACCCCAGGGCTGGGATAACCGGGAATCACCCTGGAATGCTGCCCTGGGCACCCAGCACAGGGATCACAGCACCTTGGGCAGAACCCCAGGGCTGGAAAAGCCGGGAATCACCCGGGAATGCTGCCCTGGGCACCCAGCACAGGGATCACAGCACCTTGGGCAGCATCCCCAGGGCTGGGATAACCGGGAATCACCCGGGAATGCTGCCCTGGGTGGGCAGGGTGTGCCACAGGGGGCTCTGGGGATGTTCCCTTTTCAAAAATGTGAATTTTCTCTTTTCTCTCCTTCCCCTGAGATACTCCCTTTTTTTTTATTTCGGTTTAATTAACACCGCCTCATTTTCCCATTGCACTGAGTGGCTTTTCCCAGCGGAGCCGTCCCGGAATGTCACCAGCAGCCCCCTCTGGTCCCCGCTCATCCCCGGTGACAGGGACAAGCTGCCCCAGGCGTGGCTGTCACCCCGGGCAGCACCTCTGGCTCTGCTGCCTGAGCTCGCTGAACATTTTCACACCTTCTCCGGGGCTGCTCCGGCTTCTTCCTCTGTGCTCTAATTAACTAATGAGACGTGATGAGGCTGTGACACCACAAGGAGTGACAGGGCCACCGAGTGTGGCATTTCCCTGACAGCATTTGGGAGGGGATGTGGAGCGGAATGGGAGAACCTGGAAAGTGAGAATCGCTCAGAAACACCCAAAATTCTTTAAACCCCTGGGTTCTCCTGCATTCCCAAGTGGCCACTGATGGAAGGTGGGAGGAGATCCTGCTTTTCTGGGATTTCTGCTTTTCTGTCTCCCGTCAAGGCAGTGAGACACGGCCTTTTTTATACCTTTTTTTTTTTTTTTTTTTTTTTTTTTTTTTTTTTTTGAGGAGGGGGATGTGGCTAAAACTCTCCTGGAATGTTCCAGGCTTGGAGCTAATAAAGCTCTTCCACATAAATTAAGTTACAGGCATCTCGTTCATCCCTTTGGGTTTCATCACTTTTTGTATGTGAAATTCAATCCAAAGATGCATAATAATAATAATAATAATAATAATAATAATAATAATAATGGATTGTCTAACGAGCAGGAAATCGATCCCTGTCTCCTGGGCAGTCACTGAATATCAGTAATTTTTAAAAAATCAGTTGTTTTTTTAATAAACGTGATTACTGTGTAACTGAAGCTGAATGAGCAGGCTCAGCTGGTGCATGTGCCTGGATGTGCAGCAGCTCTGGCTGCTGGGGGGGATTTTTACAGGCTCCAGCTCGGGCTGGAAGCGATGCAGGGGCTGGAGCAGCTCCTTGCCATGGTACCCCTGCCCACCTGGGCTGTTTCTCCCAGGCAGGCTCCGGGTTGGAGGCGCTGGCAGGAGGGAATGGGCTCCGGTGAGCTCAGCAGCCCGGGCTGGGCTCGGCTCCTGGCACGCCCAGGGTGGCAGCGGGTGGATGTCCCAGCAATGTCACATCCCCACAGCTCCCAGGAGGGACTCCAGCCCACCTTCCCTGCTGCTTCCCTCTCCCTCCTCATCCCTCCTGCTCTTCATGCCAGGTTTCGGGAAGTGAACCCAAACCACGGCACAAATCCAGATGTTGGGAGAAGTCCCACTCTGCAGGGGTGCAGAGGATTTTCAGGAGATTCTGGGGAGGGGAGGACAGGCACTCCCACGGCAGCAGCTGGCCGGGGGACCCCTCTTTGTCCCGACCATGATTCGTGTTTATTTTTTCTCTCAGCTGTTAGGAAAATCCACAAACACCAGAGGTTTATGTCCAAAAAGGAGACAGAGGAGTCCTTTGTGACTTTATTCGAATAAAGGGAGAAACCTTGGGGCATTCCCCTGGGATCTCTCCAATTTTTGGAGGATGCAGCCTCCTTTTTATTCCAATTTTCCAACCACATTTCCCTTCTCTCTTCCCCATTTCTGAGGTACTTGAGAGGTACAGACTTCCTGATACACCTGATACCAAAGAGTCCCCTCTAATGTACAACTCTCCCTTTTAATTTTTAATTCTTACGGAATTTAGGAGTTTTTTTCTTCCCCATTGTTTCTTTCATCTTTCAACGTCTAATTTCATTTATCAGCAAACCTAAAAATTTATTTGTCAAAGCAAATATCTTTTCCCATTCATCAATCTGTGGAATCCTCCCCATTGTTTCTTTTATCTCCCAGCGCTAGTTTTATTTATTTTTATTTACCAGCAGACCCACAGCTCGTTTGGAAAGACAAACCCGCTATTCCTCTCACAGCCGAGCCTCTCGCCCTCGTTTGATGGCAAGGAAAAGGAAAGGGCTCGTTTCCCTAAATCCCACAGGAACGGTTTGGCAGGGATGCTCTGGGAGCCCCGCGGTGCCCGGAGGATGCTCGAGGTACCGACCTTCAGCCCTTTAGGAGAGCAGGAAATGTTAACGAGCTGCTAATTAGCGCCGAGTTTCTCTCACACCCACGCCCTGCCCTCCTGCACTCGCACGGGTTCGGGCCAGGGGCTGTCGGCAGCATCCCGGCCGACCAAAAAAAAAAAAAAGTGACAGGGCGAAATTGGGTGGAATTTTTAGCTGCTGTGGCATCTCCTGCTGAATTCCACAGGGAAGAGTCTTCCCGACAAAAAAATAAATCCTACCAGAGGTCCGGTAGGATTTGCACGGTGTCCAGCAGAGACTTTCCTCAGTGTCCCTTAGGCTGTTGTGTCTTTCCAGGTGGAAATACAAGAAGATAAGGGATTTCCAGCTGGAGGTGAATCCAGAGGGAGAAGAAGGAGGAATCAAAGTAGTCTGTGTCAGTTTTTAGGGCAGGTTTGGAAAGGATTTGAGAACGAAGCAGCTGATGCCTGGGAGTTTATCAAAACAGCAGCAAGAAGATTTCAGAAGAAAATCTGTCAAGGCCAGCAAAGGATGTGTAAGGAGGAGTTCAGGAGATGCAGGAAGAAAGGACTGAGAAGGCAGGACAGGGACACCCCCCAAATCGTCTGGGGTACCAGATAACTCCCAAAATAATTGTTGTACAGGCACACAAGACAGAGGTGGCTCTGAAGGTGCCAGGTTTGGCTTCCCTTGGGTGCCAATCCCTGCCCCTCAGTGCTCTGCCCCAGCACTGAGCACACAGCTCATCCTTCTGTGGATAATGAGATAAAAATGGCAAAACCCAGCTGAGGGGTCAGGGAAATCTGGGGGAGACTCCTGATGCTCTGGAGTCATGTAGGAATTAATGAAATCCTTCCCAAACCACTGGGAGAAGGGGGTTTTAACCTGGTTCATATTGTAGGAATACTTTGGGATCAAGCCTGGCTTAAATCTCAGACAAGGGAAGAAAAAAAAATCATTAAAAAAAAAAAATTAAACAATCAGTTTCAAGGAGCTGAGGGTGTCCCAGGGAGGATCAAACCCCATAACCAGCCCATAAATCCTGCAGATGCAGTATTTATAAATTTATAACCAATGTGGCTTTATGCTCTTGTGTGGCCCCAGTGCCACGGTCAGAGCAGGTGCAAAAGAAAGAAAAGAAAAAAAAACCCAAACAAAACAGCAAAAGAAGAAGAAAACAAGCAGCCCATAACCAGAGCACAGAGGGAGTTTGGTTATGTAAGGATTTATTCTTCCTTCCTCAAAACCCATCTGCTGCTCAGGAGCTCATTTCTGTGTGTTCATCCTGATTCCTGGACTGCATTCCAAGAGTCTCCACGGCCAAATGCGGAGTCTTTTTCATTTCCCTCCCCTCTCCTGCAGCGTGACAGGAATTGCTGGCACTTGTGCTGCATCCTACACTTGTCCCCAGTGCTGTGGGGAGAAGAGACTCTTATGCCAGCTTTCCTCCCAGTTTTCCTGCCAGTTTCTTGACAGTTTTCCTCCCTCTTTCCTCCCAGCTTTCCAGTCTCTTTCCTGCCAGTTTTCCTGCCTATTTCCTCCCAGTTTTCCTACCTGTTTCTTGCCTATTTCCTGCCTGTTTCCCACCCGTTTCCTCCCAGTTTCCCTGTTTTCCTGCTTCTTTCCTGCCAATTTTCCTGCTTATTTCCTCCCAGTTTCCTCCCAGTTTTCCTCTCTCTTTCCTGCCTGTTTTCCTGCCCTATTTCCTCCCAGTTTTCCTACCTGTTTCTTGCCTATTTCCTGCCTGTTTCCCACCCGTTTCCTCCCAGTTTCCCTGTTTTCCTGCTTCTTTCCTGACAATTTTCCTGCCCATTTCCTCCCAGTTTTCCTCTCTGTTTCCTGCCTGTTTTCCACCTGTTTTCTCCCAGTTTTCCTGCCAGTTTTCCTGCCAGTTTTCTGCCTTTTTCCTCCAAGTTTCCCACCTGTTTCCTGCCTTTTTCCTGCCTCTTTCCTGCCCGTTTCCCTGCCACTCTTGGCACAGCCCACAGGAGCTCTGAGCAGCTTCCCTGGGACCCCCAGTTCACCCTGGCACCTCCTAACCCGGGACAAGGCAGGAACAGGGAGCTGTCACCATCCCCTGGCACCCAGCAGAGCCACATCCACAGGTCCCTGGCACTGGCACGTGGGGTTTCACCAGCTGGATGCTTGGAAGGGGTTTTAGAAGGTTAAAGAAGGGGTTAAAGGGGTTAAAGAAGGTGCCCCATCTTTAGCAGCTCGATCTCCCTGCCCTCTCCATGCCCACAGGGACGTTCTCCCTGGAAATGCCCATCCCAGGTGAGGAGTGCCAGGGACACTCAGGTGACTGTGGGCAGTGCCAGCAGAGGTGACAGCTCCAGGAGTGCCCCCTGCCCGATGCCACCTCAGCACAAGGAGTTTCAAATCCCTGCTGGGAATTATTTTTACATCTGCCCTCTCTCTTCCCCACCCAGAGCCACTTCCCTGCTGCTCCTCTGCCCTTCTCCCCTCTCCCAGGAGCAAGGTGAGCTCTCAGGGCAGGCCCAGCAGCACTGCAGGAATCCCAGGCCTGTTCCAGGTGTTTTCACCCCAGCACACCCCAGTGCACCGATGGAGAGTTTATTCAAGCCCCTGCAGCCACAGTTGGTGACTCGTGGCTCTGGCTCAGCCCCAGCCCCTGCTCCTCCTCCCCCATACATATTTATGAGCCCAATTATCACTGAACAAGCAGGTTGCTGTGCAAATAAATGATTTTTAATCTAAATTACCCAGTTTACACACTCCCCCCAGCTCTGCTTAGCAGAACAGCTGGTGTTTACCAACTCCTCATTACTGAGCCAGGCAACAGCAGGAGATGCTGCCCAGAGAGGAGCAGCCACCTCTGAGATAAGCTGAGCTCTGGGTTTATCTCTGCCTCAGCCTCGCTGCTCCTCCACACCAGGTCTCTCATCCAGCCCAGTTTGCACCATTGTGCCACGAAGGAATGACGAAAAAATGTCTGCTGATAACAGCTGTTATTGTTGGGTACTGTATTTCTGCAGAAACGAGTCATTTCCACGAAAATCCAAATAAATCCAGCTCTCTGTCCATATCTGTATTTCCATTATCAGCATTTCCTTTCTCCCCATTCCACAGGAGGCTCACACCAGAGCTCAGATGATGCAAGAATTATTCCTGTCGTGGTATTTCCACTGTCCAAGAATGAACATACGGGAGAGAAATCCAGCTCCTCATTATTCCAGGCCTTAAACGGCCCCCTGAGGCATCAAACAAACACAGGGACCCCAGTGCCAGGACTGGGAGTGCTGGTGCCTGGAAGGCCAAAGTGGGGAAGGACTGGGGCACCAAATCCAAAGCAGGGATGTCCCTGCAGCTCCCAGCACGCTCTGGAAGGGCTGGGGAGGAAGGTGCTGCTCTGAGCAGCACGTGCTGCTGCACGTGGCTCCCTCCAGGCCTATTTCCAGCCTGTCTGGCTGCAGGGAGGAAGGAAAACTCCTGGCCTGGGCATGGAACAGGCAGTCACATGTGGCTGGGGCAGGAGTCACAAGCCAGGGCACCGCTGGTGTCAGAGGAGATTTGATCCATCCCTTCCCTTTCCCCTATTTCTGCGGTGACGGAGCAGGACGCTGGTGGTCGATGCTTTCTGCAGGATAATTCCTGTGTGCCCACATTCTTCCTCTTCCCAGAGCCTTCTCCTGGAGCAGCAGCACAGCTCTGGCCAGGCTCTGCACCCCTCAGGGGCATCCCTCCTGCAGTGTCCCACAGAATGCCCCAGGAACGAGGGACAGCTTCCCCATCCTGGGCAGGGAGGAGGACAGGAGCTGCAGGAGCTGAGCCACCAGCTGGTGACCTGCCACAAAGTCCCCAGATTTCTCTGCCCACAAAACTGGTGGCTGGAGGGATGGAATATCCTCATCTTTCCTTGGTGCACATGAACAACAGCTTTAAATTTCACTGTGTTGTGAATTTTAGTCAGCCCTGGCCAGCCTGAGCTCTCATCCCACTGCATCACAGCATGTGGGAGCAGGCAGGCAGCTGTGGGACAGGGAAAATGATACTTTACAGGATGATCCCAAGGAGGAAGACCTTTTCCCTCTGCAGGCACCACAAATTTGTTTTGCTGTGATTTAAGGACACATTTGGCTCCAAAGTAGCTCCAGAGTCCCTGAATCAGAACATCTCTGACTCCTGGAGCTGGGCTGGGTCAGGCCAGCTCAGACACTGAGGCTGTGTGCTTAAACAAAGCCCTCAGGGCTTCCAGAGCCATCCCACCCTGATTTCCAACTGTCCACCTTCCTCCTGGCACAAAGGTGTGACACCTGCTTTTCCCCACGTGTGAAAGGATCCAGAGCATGTTAAAGGGGTTGGAATGGTCCTTACAGACCATCTAGACCAAAAGAAAAAGGAGAATTGACTGAAAAACTGCAGAAAACATCCTGCCCTGGCATGACGAGCACCGAGCAGCTGCACTGAGATCAGGCAGCCCATCAGGTGGGGTGGGCAGGGAGGTTTTGGGGAGCCCTGAGCCGGCTGGATTTCACCCAGGATGGAGATTCCCCTGCTCCGGGCTGGGTGTGAGGCAGCAGAGCAGGAATGCTCGGTAAACAAGCAGTAAATAACCATTGCCCCGGTGACAAACGCCTACAAGGGACTGCGAGAGGAAGCTGAGAGCGTTTGTAGAGAGTGGGAAGGAAATAAATATTGTGCATTTAACAATCCCAGGCAGGGCAGCACGGGCAGGGAGCTGGAGGAACTGGGAGCGGGGTCTGGCTGTGAAGCCCAGATGGCCACTGGTTACCAAAGCAAAGGGATCAGCTGGGAAAAGCTCTCCTTCTTCCCTGAGCTCCAGCCCCGAGCGAGAGCCGGGCTCGGGCTTGGCAGGGAAGCCGTTCCCGCTGTAAAAATGAGCATTTATTGCTCTCTGGTGGCGAGCCTGGCTGAGAGCAGAGCTGCTCATCCTGCCTGTGCCCGGGAGAGCCGCTCGGCTTGGGAAATAACCCGTGTTATAACCCAGCAATCACCCGTGTCCCCAAATGCCACATCTACCTTTCGACATCTCCAGCGATGGGGACTCCAGCAGCTCCCTGTTCTGTGCTCCTGCCCCAGCGTCAGGGTGGGCTCTGCCTCCCCCTGAGCAGTTTTTTCTGCCCCCCCGGGAGGCTGGACCAGCCCCTTTATTGCTCCTCACTTCCCTAATTCTGTCCCTCACTGCCAAAAGCTTTGGTGGTGCTTTTTACAGGAGAGGGCCTTGGCAGAGCTGCCGTCACACACCTCGTGGGGCAGATGAGGATAAAAACCAGGTGTAAATGAAGGAGTTGCTATTCCACACACGTTTGGGTCGGGCTGAGCTGCTGCAAGGTGTGGGGAGCTGTGGGGACAGGCACATGGCAGCATTCCCCAGTCCCCATCCTGGGCAGGGCACTCCTGAACCCCCCCAGGAGCTCAGCCCTGCTGCACCCCCAGCTCCAACACCACTGCTGGGCCTCACCCTGCCCTGGCTGTGCCACCTCCGCTCTGGGCACAGCCCTGCTCCTGAAAAACAAGGGCAGGGTCCCAAGTGCTTGGGAGGAGGAGCCCAAACCCTTCCAGCCCCTCAGGACGTGGTGCAGGAGTCTCCTGGGCCGCTCCTGGAGGGCACACGGACCTTGCACGGCGCTGCTGGATGGCTCCGCTGGTGTCCCCAGCGTGGCACACGGGTCACACCACGTGGCCACCTTCGCTCAGCCACCGGGGCCGGTCGGTGGCACAGCCTGGAGCGCCCTCAGGTCCCCCTGGGGCTCTGGGGATGGCATCCAGCTTGGCACGGAGCAGGGCTTGCAGCTCCTGGTCCTCCAGCTCGGTGGCTGCAGCGAGGGCCAGCAGGAAGTAGGAGGCTGCATCCTGTTCATCCTGAGCAGAAAACACGGGACAGGAGTTAGGAAGGAGCTCACGGGGTAGGGGGGAACTGGAGCAGAGCCTGGGGGTCCAGGCAGGACACAGGGACACCAATTTCACTGGAATGGTGCTGAATGCCAGCACCATTCCCCCATTCAAAAGCAGAAGATGTGACCTCCTCCCTCAGCTCTCCATCCAAGCCACAGCACCACGGGAGGGCTCCTTTCTTACCTTCAGCTTGTGCAGGGCCAGGTTGCCCAGGTGCCAGTAGACCTTGCAGTAGTACAGGGCCTCTGCCGAGCTCTGCAGCATGGGGGGACGCATGGCCAGGGTCTTCAGGTAGCAATCCTCGGCCATCTCGTGCATGTGCAGCAAGTCATAGGCTGTGGCCAGGCGGTGGAAGGCAACCAGCTCCTGCAGCTGATCCCCTGGGAAAGAGAGAGGTGGGATCAACCAGCTCCTGCAGCTGATCCCCTGGGAAAGAGAGAGGTGGGATCAACCTGCTCCTGCACTGATCCCCTGGGAAAGAGAGAGGTGGGATCAACCAGCTCCTGCAGCTGATCCCCTGGGAAAGAGAGAGGTGGGATCAACCTGCTCCTGCAGCTGATCCCCTGGGAAAGAGAGAGGTGGGATCAGCCAGCTCCTGCAGCTGATCCTCTGGGAAAGAGATAGGTGGGATCAACCTGCTCCTGCACTGATCCCCTGGGAAAGAGAGAGGTGGGATCAACCAGCTCCCGCACTGATCCCCTGCAAAATAGAGGGGTGGAATCAACCAGTTCCTGCACTGATCCCCTGGGAAAGAGAGGGATGGGATCAACCAGCTCCTGCCATGGATCTTCTGGAAAAGAGAAGGGTTGGATCAACCAGCTCCTGCCATGAATCTTCTGGAAAAGAGAAGGGTTGGATCAACCAGCTCGTGCCATGGATCTCCTGGAGAAGTTGCTGATCCAGCTCAATCCATCCCCAGCCCTGTTGAGCCACTTTGGATGCATCATCTCAGCAGTGTAGGGCCATGGATACCTCTGAGAGAAAACAGAGCCATGGGCAGGGTGGTTGATGGCACAGCTGGACAGATTGGCCCAGGAGTATCATTCAGCCAGGGGATTTTTTTGGGTGCTGGAAGGTACAAGACTGGTCCCATCCCAGACATTTAAGCTGGCATTTTGCCCATCTAAACTATTTCTGGGAAGGGGTGAGGCTTTTAGCAGAACCAGGGCAGAGAGCAGAGGGCAGGAACTGCTGAGTCCTGTGCTTTCACCAGACTTCCTGTGCTCTGGGGTAACAAAACCCCTCTGCTGTCACACAGCTGAAAAAAGGGGAAATGGCCTTAAAAAGCTGTCATGACTTTGGGTAAGAGTAGGTCCAGCAGTGTCAGGAAAGCAGGAGATCCCCTTTTCACATGGCTCTTGTTCTCATCCACAAGATTCAGTGTCTCCCCCAAAAAATCACCCACTGCCCAGTAACTCCCAGTAACTCCCAGTAACTTCTGGGTGTAAATCACTCACCGACCCTGAGGCTGAGCCTGGCTGCCAGCGTGGCAAACTCCAGAGCCTTCTCGTAGCCCTGCAGGCTGATCTGCAGCTCTGCCAGTTTGTTGAACAGCCGCAGCTCTGTCTGGGTGGCCTTGAGTTTCCTGGCCAAGGGCACAGCTCCTCCCTGAGGAGAGAGAATGGCGAGTTCAGGGTGTTCCTGGAGGATCAGCACTGCCAGAGCAGCAGGACAAGAACCAAGGCTGGGGATGGGCACTGCAGGTTTGGGTTTTAGTCCCTTCTTTCCCTTGAGAATGAGTTTTAAATCCCAGTGGCTCCCAAAGCCTGAGCCTCACATCCCTGCTCTTCCTTGGGTGCCTGGAATTCTGACTGGGTGTACCCAGGGGTGACCAGCTCACACTTAACACCACCAGGATTTGTAATGGAAGGAGCCCATTCCCGACCCCAAATGATCTCTGGGGTTTTTTGCAAACCTGTGCTGCAAGCCTCCCACTCTGGCACCATCACCCCATCCCTCTCCACCCTCCATCCTTAGGGCAAAGCCCCCCCAGGCACCACCCTATGGGGACACAAGGACAGAAGTGCTCATACCCTGTAAAACTCCACTGCCCTGGCCCTGCTCCGGCTGCCATTGAAGAAGGTGTCACCTGCTTTCTCATAAAGATCCATGGCCAAGGAGAAGTTGTCCCCTTTCAGAGCAGTCTGGATGGCTGCCTGGAAGGAAAAGGGGACTGGAGTGACATTTGGAAAGGCAGAGACACTGGTGTGATTAAATAAACCCCAGACTTTAGGAGCTGCTCTTCTGCTTTGCAGCTCAGCTGATAAAATACTGCTGGAGATGGAGAGGTGCCAGAAGCCTTCAACTCCAAGGACTTCCCTGGCACTTATCCCTCATTTATGGATATTTCAATGGGAACTGCTCACTTGGCACCTCCAGCTTCTTTTGGCACTCCCACGTCACTTTCTGACTCAATGAATTCACTTCTTTTCACCCTAAAATCCTCTAAACTCAGTGGATGGAAAGAAAGAGAGGAAATTCAGTGCCTGAGGGCAAGGCAAGAGCTCCTCCTTCCAGCAGCAGCTTTACAGCGCTCAGAACTTTCCCTTCCAGGTTTCCCAGCCCCAAAAGGCTGTGATGGGAATGCACAGCTCCAGCCACCTCCCCCATACCTGGAAGTACATTTCCACCAGCTCATCCTCCTGCAGAAGGTAATAGAGTTTTCCTGCCTGCAGCCAGGCCTCTGCTGCCTTCACAACCTCCTCGAGGTCAATGAAGATCTTCAGGCTCTGCTTGGTGCAGTCCAGGGATTGTCTCAAAGCCCTGCAGTAGCAACAGGTAAAAAGCCACCTCAGAGGAGTCACAGAGCTGTCCCCAGGCCACCCCCCCATGGCACTGACCCCCTGCCCTCTCCTCCTGTAGTTACCAAAGGCTGGGGACAAAAGGGCATGGTCAGCTCTGAGCAAGGTGTCCTGGTAGTATCATGGGCATCTCCATGCTTTAATGCTCAGGTTTAATGGGCATTTGGCCACCTTAGGACAATTCAGGACACCAGTGGTCCCACTCAGGCTGCTCCTCACCCCTGTGGGATTAAGAGGGCTTCATCCAGGTCACCTCCAAATCCAGTTTGCCTCTCTAAACCAATCCCAAAGTCATTCCCAGCTCCACATGGGAGCACAGGCAGGGAATGCTTGTACCTACATGTCCCAGACAGCACCTGGCACCCAAACCCACACCTCTGCCTGGAGTTTATCCCTTGTGAGATCTCTGGCTACATGTCCCAGCCCCTTTTCCAGCCCCTGGTCACTGGAATAGCAACTCCCAGCCCCTTTTCCAGCCCCTGGTCACTGGAGGACACAGGGCCAGGCAGTGGGATGAGCCAGAGGGCTGGACATGGACTCAGATGTGGGGAAGGGAGAGCCAGCAGTGTCCAGGGCACTTTGCTTGCTTGGTGTCTCTCCTGCTGGCAAGCAGGCCCCAGCTGTCCTGGGAGCTCAGGGAATGGGGTGCTTTGTGATCCTAAATAGCACCGTTCACATGACAGGCATCTGCTCCCTAAATACCTTCCCCCTGCACTCACCGTGACCTGGCTGGGGAGGTGAACAACCCAGCTGGGGACAGCCCTGCCCATCTGTCCTTCTGGGACTGGCAACTGGCTCTCCACTCTTTGATCTGATTGCCTTCAAGGTCTGTGGCCTGTCCCAGCCTCCTCCTCTCCTCTCCTCTCCTCTCCTCTCCTCTCCTCTCCTCTCTGTCCCACACAGTGTTAGGCAGGGATTAAAGGTGAGCTGATACTGGGTTTTAAGCACCTCGTGTGGGTCTTTAGTCCCTCCCTGGGGACAATATCACAGCAGATACAGGAAGGGCAGCCTTGGCAGCTGGAGGCTGAAACCAGACTTACTCAAAGAGCAGATAAGGAGCCTGTTCTTGCTGGGGAGTGGTGATTAATCATTGGGATAAGCTTCCAAAGGAAGCAATGAATTCCCTGTCACTCTGCTGAAGCCTGGATGTGTCCTGGAAAACTGTGTCTGGCCAGACTCCAGCTCTGTCTGGGACAACACTTGCCCAGCTCTGGTTGACATTGAGCTGCTCCCTCTCAGAGCACAGTGACAGCTCATAAATCTCAAAACCTGAACTGTGGGGCAGAAGGAGCCACCACCACACCCCATCCCAACCTGCTCGAGGGACACCCCAGGAAAGCCACTGCACTCTGTCAGCATCCAGCAGCCCAGCCACTCACTCAGGTGTGCCCAAAGCCTGGTAGAGCCGGCTGAGGGCCTGCCTGGCATTGGCCTCCAGCTCCCTGTCCTGCAGCTGCCGTGCCAGGGACGCCCAGTGCTCGTGGTAGGTGATGCAGGCCCGCAGGTCGGGGCACACTCTGCTGTAGAAATGGCACAGACGCTCCGTGACGTGCAGCTGACCTGTGTGGCATGGGGAAAGGGAGAAGGACAGCTCAGGGGACAGCGCTGGGGACTTGGCGGGGTCGAACACTGCCCTGCTCCCCTCTATACTCACTCCTCAGGTTCTGCCACTTCAGGGCAAAACCCAGCGCCAGTTCATAGCAGAGCTTGGCACCTTCCATCCTCTGCCTGTCCACCATGGCCTGTGCCAGCCACAGCAGCACCTGTGCCAGCTCCGTGTCCAGCTCTTGGTGGCCCTGGAGCTCGGCGTAGAGCCGCACTGACCACAGCAGGTAGAGCTCGGCCAGCTGGGCGGCCCCGCACGACAGGCTCAGCTGGCCCAGGTTAGCCAGGGACACGGCCTGATTCCTCCTGTTCCCCGTCTCCTTGGCCTTGTGCAGGGCCCTCAGGAAGTTCTCTGCGGCCTCCTGAACACGTCCCTGGGCGCTGAGGGCCATGGCCAGCAGGTTGTGCACAGCCCCGCGCGGCGTCTCGCAGGCCGCGCCGCGCAGCGAGCGCCGCAGCTGCCGCAGGATGGGCCCGGCCGGGCCCGGCCGCCGCTGCAGGAGGTACAGCCACCCCAAGGACAGCGAGGACTCAAAAGCCTCCTCCTCCCCCAGCAATCTGCCCAGAGCTGCGGCCCTGGCTGCGTAAGGAACAGCCCCGTCCAGCAGCCCGTGCTGGAGGTACGTCCTGGACAGGACGGCGCAGAGCGTCCTCTGCATGGGCACGGCCCTGCTCTCACAGCAGAACTGCAGCGCTTGCCTGAGGTACAGACAAGCCAGGGCTGGGATGCTGCTCCTGCCCAGCTGCTGCTTCCCCAGGAGTTTGGAAGCATTTTGGAGGATGAAGCCAGCTCGCCAGATGGGGGTCGGTGTCCCCTTGGCGCTGCTGGGAACGAAGGACCTGACGGAGGCCAGCGCGATGTTTGGCAGGCACTTCTTGTCATAGAGGTAGCCCAAGGTGGCAGCGGCATCCAGGGGCCCAGCACGGGTGCCTGGGCTGAGCCAGGTGGTGCTGAGACACTGGAGATGCTCCAAAAAGGGCAGCACCTCCTCGGTCCTGCCCAGCTGCAGGAAGAGCTTGACGATGAGGAAGCAGATCCGGGCCTCCAGCGGAGCGTTGCCCACGGCGATGGATTCCCTCAGGATGTAGGTGAGGAGCTCCAGCTCGTTCTCTGAGCTGAAGGAGCGGCCAGGCAGGCACACCAGCAGGGTCACCGTCTTTCCCAGCAGGGAGGAGAACTTGTGCTTCATGTTCTGCTTCAGGTAGATGGAGGCGAGGCTCCCATGCAGCGCTGCCAGCAGGGGCAGGTCCCCAAAGCCCCTGTCCAGGACACTCATGGCTTCCTCAAAGTACACCCGAGCCTGGGAGAACTTGACCTTTTTAATGCAGAGCTTACCCAAGAGGAAACAGAGCCTGACATGAGCCCAAACTGAACGAGTCCTCTTGGCCCAGTTCCGGGAAGTCTCGAGGTACAGGACCAGTTCATCCTCATCAGAGAAACCATAAAAAGTGGAGTGGAGAAAGGAAAAGCTGAGATCATAAAAGCTTTGAAAGCTGGGCACGAAACTGTCTTGGTTGAGGAAGGTCAATATGGGGTCAAAGACATCAGCATCCTCCATGTGGCCAGCATTGAGGTCGATGAAGAATTTGGGATAATCCAAGTCGTCCAGCTTCTCCAGGAGAACATCTTCCAGTGTGGCAGGGGCTGTTTCACTGCCTGGGCTGGACAGCTCTGAGGTGCTGCTGGTAGCCCAGTCATTGATTTCCTCCCAAGACTGGAGCACCTGGATTTCTTTACTGGCATGGAGAGCAGCCTCTGGAAGGGACAGTGAAACCACAGTGGGATCAGCAAGAAATTCTTCTCTGTGGCTGCCCCACCCCTGGAAGTGTCCAAGGCCAGGTTGGGCAGGGCTTGGAGAAACCTGGGATAGTGGAAGGTATCCCTGACCGTGGCAGAGGGTGGGGCTGGATGACCTTTAAAATTCCTCCCTACCCAAACCATTCCCTTATGTTTCCTCCTGTCCAAATTCACCCTCAGAAGCCATCACCAAAGCCTCCCCCTCTGTCCCCTCCTTGTACTCACCTGGTGGCACTTGTGGGAACATGGCTGTGGGTTCAAACCCAGCTGTACAGAGAGACAAACAGAAAACAAAACCCCAAATCCTTGGTCAGTGTCAATGTGCAGAAACCAGCTGAAGTCCCAGAGCCACCCAGCCAGAACAGAGAGAGTGAGAGCCCCCAGAAACCCCAACCCATGTGCTGCAGGCCAGGCTCAGTGGAGAGCAGCATCTGCCAGGGTGAATCCCAGCTCAGGAGCTGCCCTGGCACCAGAAAGGTCCCCACAGACTCCAGCATGGCAGGGTCACCTCCTGAGGACACCTCAGCCTCCATCACCAGGCTGAGCATGGGTTTGTGCTGCCTCCACCCTAGAAGTTCCTCCACTGCATCCCCATGATCTTGGGGCTCTCCAGCCCTGCCCAGCTCTCCCTGGGAATGCAGGGACTGGGATATGAGGGGAGGGGACACTCACCCAGCCTGTAGACAGAGGTGATGTCAGTGTGTGCCAGGTCCCCCAGGAGGGTGGCAAAGTGCTGCTCGTCACCATTGCAGGGGATGTGCAGCACTGGGGACTTCTCCTCTTCGCTCAGAAACACAAAGCCCTTTCCCCTGGGGGGGGGCAGGAGAGAAGAGTCAGCGTGTCCCCAGCCCCTGACAATGCAGCTGGCCTGTGGAGTGGGATAGGATGGGATGGGAAGGGATGGGATGGGATGGGATGGGATGGGATGGGATGGGATGGGATGGGATGGGAAGTTTTCCCATGCTATGGGAAGGGAAGTTTTCCCATGCCTTCTCTTCCTCCCACCACAGAAGTTGTGTTGCAGATGAGCCCAGGATTCTGGACACCTTCCCCATCCAGGTTCTCCATGAAGGAACAGAAAGGTGCCAGAGGAAGGGAAGCCAAAGCTTCTGCTCACACCTCAAACCCCACCTCTGTGAAGGTCCTGCCAGGGGAATCACCTGCCCTAGGCTCTCACACAGCCTTGAGGTGGGATTTGGAGCCTCCCCTCCCTTTTCTCCAAAATTTAATTTAAATAAACTCACAGAGGTTCGCAAGCCTCGGGATGTACGTGTTGGGTGGGAACGAAGCCAATGCTCCTGGTGCTGAGGGATTTGCCCACAAACCAGGGCAGCCCAGGGATGAAGAAGCCAATGATTTCTATGGGATCTCCTTTGGAGAAGCTCAGCTCATCCCACGCTGCTCCTCTGTGGTCCTTGGTGGCGATGCACCTGCCTCTGACTGGGAAACCAAGGCAAAAAATGGAATTTCGGTGGGATCCCTGCTAAAACCTCCTCCCTGGAAAAGACCTGGGCAGGGAGAGGCCATGATTCCAGCTGGAGAGGGCTGCTCCTCTCTCCCCTAAGATTTATTGTGATCTTGGGCCCAGCTCTCTGCCTTTTCTCCTTGAGAAGTGGGTTATAATACAAAATAAAAGAGGGATGGATAAACTCCACCCCTCTGCAAGCTGCAGCCTGGAAGGTGACTGGAAATATGGATTTCCACAGACACTGCCCTACCTCAACTCTGCCAGGAGTGAAATCCTGGACAGTGCAAATGTCCATCCCTACATGACAAAGTCACACCTGCAGGGACCTCCTGTGCCCAGCTTGCTCTGAACTGGACTGGGTTAAGGGCTGGGTGGTTAACACAGGTTTCATGTGAGCACAAGGTGGGAACCTCATGATTTGTAACCTCAAAGAATGAAAAGAAACATAAAATTTAAGTAGGACAGGGAAAAGCCAGTGGCAGGAGGGTGTCACCAGCAGATCTGTGCTCTCTGTGTTCCTCAGAACGTGGTTTGTAACTTCTGATCTGCATTCCAGAGAGTCCAGCATTCCCTCAGAGCCCTGTAGAGGGGTCAGGCCCAGAAGAACAGATGGACTTGTGGCCATTTGTGGCCAAACCCAGGTTTTGTGCCCAGCCCTGGGACAGTGCCTTGCACAGGTGTCACTCACCAATGGCCCGAGAGCTCGTCCCGCTGATCTCCTGGGAGAGGCCAAAGCTCACAGCATAACTCCTCAGGAACCACCTGCAAGGCAAAAGGGACCCTCAGTGGTCCTCGTGAGCACTCCTGACCTCAGGGATGGTGTCACACCACAGGGGAAGAGCAGGATAAATTTGCCATCTTTAAGGAAGATTTCTCCAAATAAAAGGCTCAGCCAGGTGACAAACATTAAGTCCCACTTTGGCTGGCATTGCCTGACTTTTTTCTGCCACTTCTTCATCTGTTAATCAGAGATAACCTCATGTATGACCTCAATCAATATCTTACAAAAACCACATCTGAAGTAGGAGCATGTCCTTGCTGTGTCCCATTGACTGCACCTGCATTGATTCCAGTCTTTATGCCTAACGTGGATCCTCCTGGAAATATCCTCATGGAATTGTGAGGCTCTTGCCCTTTGCCAAAGACAAGAGGAGTTTCTCAGCCTGCCTTGGTGCCAGTCATGCATCAGGATCAGGAAAGAATCCTGGTCTGAGCCCTTTCATTCACCACTTACTGGTAAAAGGGGTGAGGTATTGGCTCCAGAGCAGCCACGGGCACCACACCTCGCTGCCCTGTCAGCAGGGACATCCCTTCCCATTTGGAATCCTGTCCAACACTCTTCACATGGATCAGCTCGTTCCTGCAGAGCTGCAGACCCTCCTCTCCCTCCTGCTCCAACTTGCAGACACCAGGCACTGCCCTGCAGAAAAAGTTCCCTGCAGAGAGAGTCAGAGGTGGGATCAGTGCATCAGGGGCTCCAGCCCAGCCCTGCTGCAGGATTTCCAGGAATTCCCCCATGTGCATTCCCATCACACCTTCCTGGAGGAGCAGATCCATGTAGATGGTGGCCAGGTGCTCCTCATCCACGGTGACCCTGAGCTCTGTGTCCTCCACCAGGGCACAGTCCAGCCAGAACTCCTGGGCAAAGAGCAGCTGCTCCAGGCAGGTTCCCACGTACCCTGAGAAGCCAAGAGGGCCATCAGGATCAGCACCTCCTTCTCTGGGCAGCAGGAAAGGTCTTGGGGATTTCCAAATGTCAGGCAAAAGCTTCTAATTTTGTCTCCAAAATTTCCCCAAAGGAATCCTCCTGATTCTCACTGATGCAAACAGAGATTTCATAAACAACAGATTGCAAAGTTTTCTAATTCATTTCTCACTGTCCACCCTGAACATTGCAGTTCTGTGGTGTCAGGCAATGCCTTCTCCAAAAACCCTTCTCACACTGTCTGCTCAGACCTTGGAAACATTACCTAAAGTCAGATAGGTGGAAAACTTCCAGACTTCCTCCAGGGTTTTGAAGGTGAGGAGGAAGCGATCCTCGTGTGCCTGCGTGCAGACCAGCCTGGCTGACAGCTCCTGCACAGGGGACACAAAGCAGCATCAAGGGACACTCCTGGAGCCTTGAAATCCAGCAGGGAAGGAGAGTTCAGTCCAGGCATCCTCTCTGTAGCTGGGATTTGTTTGTATAAAACCCATCCTGAGAACTCTGTGCCTGTCCAGAGCTGTCCCCTCCAGCAGGGATGTGGATTTGGTGATCCCAGCCCTGGGAATTCCTGGCTGTTTAGGCTCAGATCCCCTAAAACAACACAAGGCTCAGCTTTGCCTCTCACCTGCCATCAGTTCATCTTCCCCATCATTCCAGTCCCCTCCAGAGTCCCCTGCAGCAGCCTTGGAGTAACTCCTCAGCTGGGTTTGGCACCCCAGCACACCTCCCACCATTCCAGGAGCATGGCAGCATGCCAGCTCGGGGTTTGTACCTTGAACAGGGCACAGACACCTCTGTCATCGCTCTCCAGAGCCCACAGCTTCTTCCTGGCAGCCTCCTGGAGCTGGGCATTGCGGCAGCGGCAGGAGCGGCTCTCCACGGAGAAGGAGAGCGAGAGCTCTTGGAAGGGAAAAGAGCAGGATGAAAGGGGAGGAAGAGCTCTGTGGCACCCAGAGCCACCCCTGCCACCCTGCCAGGGCCACCAGAGCCTCCAGCCTGGCTGTGGTGCTCACACAACACAAGCCCAGCCCGTCCTCATCCTTCAGGCAGCGAGGTGAGACCCGAGGCACTGCGGGGAGCCAGGAAATCTGTGGGATGCTCCAGGAGCTCCTTACCTGGGGGAAAGCTGTCCTTGGGAGCCAGCAGCACCACCGAGGGCTCTGGGGAGCCGTGTCCTGCCTCGGGAGAGGGGCTGCTCTGCTCTGCCAGCCCAGCCTTCCCTGGAGAGGAGGGGAAGAGCAGAGCTGCTGGGAAATGCTGAGCAGAGCTCTTGGATGTCCTGCCTCAGCTGAGAGCTCCTGGGAGCACTGCCCTGCATGGCTGGGGACTGTGGAACCACCCTGGAGTTGTGCTCATTGGAGAGATCCATGGGATTGATGGGGTCTAACTCCATCATTCTCTTGATGTTGGGCTTTTTTTCCAGTGCTGGAGTGGCTCTGGAGTGAGGGGATTTCCCTCCTTTCTCCTGGCAGACTCTCAGATGAACAGATTTGTTAAAAGGGTGAATCCTCAGCAGATTTTTTTTTGGAGGAGGAGGCCTCAACTCCCCAGCACAGGAGAGCCAAGGCCTTGAAAAACTCTTTGTTCAAAAAATTTGAAAATCAAAATGAGATTTTCTCCCCTGCCTGCTCTGCTGGGTATCCAAAATCCAAGCAGCATTCTCCCTGCTCTACACACCATGAGCTATTGCCATAAAGGATTCAGGGCCTGCAACCTGAGCTGCTAATTATGTTAATGAAAGCTGAGGCACACACAACTCCAGCCCTGCTCTTCCACAGCTGCACTGGCAGTGGAGGGATAACCAGATTAAACCCCAATTTTTGTCAGCAATGAGAGAGGATCTGTAAGATAAACATGTACCTGGGGATGTGGAGCTGGAATGTGCAGCAGCTTTTTAAAGTCACTTCTTTGACCAGAACTCTGCTCTACAGCTCTTTTTACTGAGCCAGCTTTGCCAGTCACTCAAATGAATTGGTATTTGCATGCAGAAATAGAATTCTTATTTAGAGAAATAGAATTCTCATGCAGAGCTAGCAAGTAGAAAAGAACAGCCCAAGGCTGGACAGGCCATGAATAAGTTTTGCTTTGAAAGAAAAGGGTCTACATTGAACAAAGTCTTAACATTTCACGTGGCAGCTTCCATTCCCTCCACATGAGGAAATGGAGAAGGGGAAGTGAAAGGAGGCAGAACTAAATCTGAGCTGGTTCTGGCCATTGCTCCACTCATTGCTGCCCTCCTCCCCTCCCTGTGCCCAGCAGAGCCTGGCAGGGCCTGGGGGTGGGTACCCAGTGACAGTCCCTGGGGATGGGGATGGGGATGTGTCCCTGTGCCATGCCATGGGGATGGGGATGAGGATGGGGATGGGGATGGGGATGTGTCCCTGGTGCCATTCCCTGGGGATGGGGATGGGGTTGGGTACCTGATGCCATTCCTTGGAGGTGGGGATGGGTACCTGATGCCATGCCCTGAAGATGTGTCCCTGATACCATTCTCTGGGGATGGGGATGGGTCCCTAGTGCCATTCCCTGGGGCTGTGTCCCTGTGCCATGCCCTGGGGATGGGGATGGGGTTGGGCACCTGATGCCATTCCCTGGGGATGGGGATGGGGATGGATCCCTGATGCCATGCCCTGGGAACGTGCCCCTGATGCCATGACCTGGGAACGTGCCCCTGATGCCATGACCTGGGGATGTGTCCCTGGTGCCATTCCCTGGGGACCCCTCCCTGATGCCATGCCTTGGGAACGTGTCCCTGATGCCATGTTCTGGGGACATGTCCCTGGTGCCATGCCCTGTGGATGGGTACCTGGTGCCATGTCCTGGGGACATGTCCCTGATGCCATGTCCTGGGGACGTGTCCCTGGTGCCATGCCCTGTGGATGGGTACCTGATGCCATGTCCTGGGGATGTGTCCCTGGTGCCATTCCCTGGGGTGGGTACCTGGTGCCATGTCCTGGGGACGTGTCCCTGGTGCCATGCCCTGTGGATGGGTACCTGATGCCATGTCCTGGGGATGTGTCCCTGGTGCCATTCCCTGGGGTGGGTACCTGATGCCATGTCCTGGGGACGTGTCCCTGATGCCATTCCCTGTGGATGGGTACCTGGTGCCATGTCCTGGGGACGTGTCCCTGGTGCCGTGCTCGTGTCCCTCCACCATTGTCCCCGGCGGTGCAGGCGGTCCCCGGGGGGCAGGAGCTCGGGGGAGCGGGGCCAGCAGGACTCACACTCCTCATCTGGGGAACACGGAGGTGGGGCAGAGGCATCCAGATCCCTGGCAGGATTCTCCCAGCCTGAGAGGTGTCCCTGGGATGTGGCAGGTGGGACGCTGCTCGTGCCACCTCTGCCAGCAGCAGGACAGAGCCTGTCCATGGGTCCCCGGAGCCAGGGCTCACTCTGGTTGCTCTCAGTGTTTATTTTCATTTGAGCCAGGTCAGAAAGGGAACTGGGAGCTTTTTTTTTTTTTTTTTTCAAGAGACCAATTGAAACTGCAGCTGGGGAGCTGTTCCCAGCCGTGCCAGTGACTCACTGACCTCCTCAGTGCCAAAATATTTTGTACCAGTGGGAAGGAAACAGCTCCAGCCCCAGCCAGGCGCAGGTCCCAGCACTCAGGGCTGCACTCCTGGCTCCAGGGCTGGGTGCTCAGGGCACCTCCTGGCCCTGGCTCTGCTGGGCCACACGTGGCCACAGTGGCTGGCCCTGAGCCATGTCCCTCCTCCAGCTCACTGGGACACACTGGAATGGGAATGGTGCCTTGGGGGATGCCAGAAGCCCAGGGGCTGTGCTTGGAGGGCTCCTGGGCAGGAAGGGGAAACGCCAACAGCATGGGAATAAACCAACCCCCGAGTCATCCTGTCCCCTCCCTGGCAAAAACGTCCTGCCTCACTCCCCACACACCCCAATCCAAGAGGAGAGAGCACCAGGAGCCATCCCAGAGGAAAGAAAAGTGGCCAGAGGGGCCAGTGCTCAGTGCCAGGGTGTCCCCAAGGGTCCCATCCCATGGGAGGAGTTCTGCAGCCCCACGGGCACCTTACCTGTGCATCCCAGTGCCAGGTCCTGGTGCCAGGGGGTCCCCAGGCAGCAGCCCATGTGTGCAGTGACACCAGCAGAGGGCTGGCAGAGGGCTGGCAGAGGGCTGGCAGGGGCAGGGCTGCTCGCTGCCCGCCCGGCACCGCGGCTGGGCACGGCCACAATGCACAATGTCCCCTTTGAGCGGGCACTGCCACGGCGGGGGCGGCGGGCACGGGCTCAGGGGAGGGCTGGGGATGGAGCCACTGCAGCAGTTGGGTTTGGAAAGGCCTTTAAGGGCATCAGGTCTGGCCACACACCCAATGCTGCCAAGGCCAGCACTAAACCACGTCCCTAAGTGCCATATCTGTGTTTTATAAATGGGGACTCCACCATGTCCTGGATGGACAGTGCCAGTGCTTCCCAAGCCTTTCCATGGAGAAATTTTCCCTGATATCCCACCCAAACCCTCCCTGGTGCAATTTGGGATCATTTCCTCTGCTCCTGTCCCTGTTCCCTGGAGCAGAGCCTGATCCCCCCTGGCTGTCCCCTCCTGTCAGGAGCTGTGCAGAGCCACAAGGTCCCTCCTGAGCCTCCTTTTCTGCACTCTGCCTCCAGGAGGGCAGTGCCCATCCCACATGGCACATTCCTGGCATTCCTCCTCGGGATCCCTCGCTCTGCCAAGCCTGCCCCAGAGCTCCCAGCTGCTCCCTCCAAGCTGATCTCACCCAGTTCCAGAGGCAGAGCTGATCCCTCACCTGCGGGGATGTCCAGCTGGGGCACATCCAGCATCCTCCACCCGGGGCTGGCTGGGATCCTGCACCTCCTTCCTGCCCGGTGCTTCTCCCGTGTCACCGTGGGGGCAGCTGGCAGCACCACGGGCATCTCTGCCACTAAATCCAGGTGAGCTCTGCAGCCCAGGCCCTGCGGGCACCCCGGGGGCAGCGCTGCCCAAACCCCAGGTCCAACAGCAGCAGGAAGGGGTTGGCTGCCCTGCAGGATCCCTTGGGCATCCCAGGATGAGGGTGAGCCTCATTCCCTCCTCACTCACATGCTCAGAGCTTCCCCAGCCCTCAGGGTCGGGATTTGGGGTGGCTGGGAGGGCTCACTGTGCTGTGGGGGGTCTGCAGAGCATCTCTGGGCAACAGCAGCACAGCCCCTGCAAAAAATAAAGCCCACAAGGGTTTAAGGAGAGAACTTGCAGGCTGGGAGGGGTTTCAGGGGTGGGTTTTTACTCCAGCAACCAGGCAGTGCCACCACTGCAGGGATTTGTGTGCTAGGGTTGCTCCAGGAGCATTACTGGCTCTCCCAGGCTGCATACCAAGCCATGGCAGTGCCTTGGACTTCTCCAGAGCAGGGAATAATTAATCCAGGGAGTTATTTAGGCCAGCTGGATGAGGCTCTGAGCACACTGGTGCAGTGGAAGGTGTTCCTGCCCATGAACAGAGATAAATTTTAAAGTCCTTTTTAACCCAGACCTGGTAATGTCTATGATTCCATGACCCAGAGAGGGAATTTCTCACCAGACAGATTCCCATGTCTGGCACAGCTGCAGTGCCCCTAAAGCAAAACCTGAGGAGTATCCAGCTGTGGGAATGGCAGGATGGAACCCACCCACATGGGGCTGGCTGGCAACTTCCACAAGAAGGGGAAGCCAGACCAAACCTCTGCAGGGAGGGCTACACTGAGAGCAGTTCAGGGCACACTCTCAGAGCAGCTGCAGGACTGGGGATTCCTAATCCAGATCCCCAAATGCCAGGAGTGCCTGGAGAAGGGAGCATCCCCTCCATCCTCCTGCTGAGCCCCAGGGCTTTGCACCCAGGGCTGAAGGAAGGGCAGTGCTGAGCCAGGCCAGCGCTGCTCCCCCTGCAGCAAAGGCAGAGCCCGGTCCCTGTTCACCAACCCTGGGAAGCTGCACAGCTAAAAACCTCCCCCAGCTGAGCCAGGGCTGCTCTGAAGGTGCAGGAGTCAGAGAGGGGATGCAGCCTGCCTGTGCTCAGATGGAATTTTGTGATGGAATCATGCACAGCTTTACACAAGAGGTGTTGCTGCTTTGGGCCCATGCTGTCCAAGTGCTCAGAGCTCGAGCAGGGCAGTATTTTTAAACAAAGCTTTTTGCTTTCCTCAGAAGATTCTTGGTTTCAGCAGCTCCTGCTCATCAATTAGCATCAATTTCTTCTACACGAGGGAATTTTATTTTGTTTTTAATCAACAAAATGGCGTTTTAAAAAATTTTTAAACACAAGTGTCTTCCTTTGTGGTTGTGAAAGGTCTTTTTGTTTTTAAGTCTACCTTGACAACTTAGCTACGAAATCCATCCCTGTACAAGCAAAGGTGTCACCTCCTGTTTGACCTGACCTGGAATTTGCCTTTTGGCCAGCAAGCTGAAAACCTCTCACTCCACTTCCTACCCTTCTGCTTCCCAACAAATCCTGGCTCTCCCCTGGAGCAACCCCGTTGCTGCTGCTGCTGCTGCTGCTGCAGCCTGGCCTCCCTGGAAAAGCCAGGGATAAGTTTGGAATACCTCCTGGGATCTCAGCCTGTTCCAGAGGGGGTTCTCTGCCTGTGCCGGCTCTCCAGGAGCTCTGCTCCCTCTGCAATCCCCGTGCCAGCCACGCTGCCCTGCCCTGGGCACAGAACGGGGTGAGAGGGGCTGTGCAGGCACCCTCGGCTCGGGGACAGAGCTGCCACACACCCCGCAGCTCTGCGGGGCTGGCACCCCGTCCCCAAACCCCCTTTCCCAAGCCCATTTCTCCCGTCAGTTCCCAAAACACCCAAACCCTCCTGTCCCTCCATCCCCGAGCCCCTGACCCAGGCAGCGCCAAAGCCCCGCACTCCGCACCCCAGCCTGCAATTCCAGAGGCGCTGGATCGCTCCAGCCACCCGGCTGGCTTTGCACGGCTGGGACAAAGGGCAGGGGACAGCCCCGGGGACACAGAGCGGCTCTACTGACCTGCTGCCAGCTCCGCTTCCCTCCCGGAGAGCTCCCGCACGCAATTCCAGCCTCGGCGAGCCCCGCGGGAGCGCTGCGCCGCCGGGATGGAGCTGCCGGGGCTGCGGACGTGTTTGCGAGCGTGCCCAGCGCTGCCACTCCCTCACACGAGGGAAGGAATTCCTTCCAAGAGCTCCTTATCATCCTGGGAACCTCCGCTTCCCAGCAGAGGTCAATGAGTTACCCAGGGCTGGGCTAGAAACACGGCACCGCCGGCTCCCGGAATTCCCAGGCGCCTCCTTCGGCAGGAATCAATTCCAGGGAGGCTCTCATGGGCACCGTGAGCCCGTTCCTGGCAGGAGCAGCCTCTCCCGGCCTCACCTGTGTCCTGCTGGCAGTCCTTGGGGCAGCAGAATCCCGGGAGAGGCATCCCTCGGAAATCCCAACTCCGACCCCCCTTCTTCCCTGGCAAAACGCAAATACAGGCGCACAGAACAAGAGATCTGTGGACCCAGCAGTATTTATGCTAAAGTCCGCGGCAGAGGGAATCACAGGGAGGTTTTTTCCTCTTGGAAACGATGAAATGGTTAACACCGAGCTTTCCCGACGTTTCTGCTCCTCCTGAAGTCGGCCATTCCTTGGCAGGTTTAAAAACGAAGCCTCGTGGCTTTTCAACTTGTTTTTTCACACCGAACCTGAAAGCAGAGGAAGTCAGCCCAGACCCGGCTTCGCTGGAGGAAAAAGCAAACAAAAAAGATGAAAGGTTTTGTTTGAGGCCAAAGAAACTCTTGGTTCATGGTTTGATCCTCTGGTACGGGTGGGGGCACCCACTTTGGTGTGAGATGGAGCAGAGCTTTCCTTCCCTGCCTCTGGAATCCCAGTGGGGGAGGGCTGGGAGCTGGCAGGAGCACAGGGGACAATTCCTCGGGGACATTTCCTCATTCCAGAGCTCTGCTTTTGCTGTCACCCTGCGCAAATGGGCACAGAGCAGCGATAAGCACCTGCCCAATCCAGGTTTTCCAAGAATCCAGGACGCCTCAGGCTGCTCACCTGGAGAACCTGCCTCATGTACCTCCATCCCCAAGGCTGGGTGGCCTTGGGACAACATTTTCCCAGGTTTTTTAGCAGCTGGGACAACATTTTCCCAGGTTTTTTAGCAGCTGGGGCATTGGGGAAGGCGGGGGTCATGCGTGGCTGAGGACACAGGGAAATCTCAAGGCTTTCACTGCCAAACTGGTGTGGCCAGTCCCTGAGTGCAGCCAGACTGGCCTGGCTTTCAGATCTTTCTCCTCATTGATGGAGAGAAAATTCCTCCTCAGGAATTTTCTTCCACCACCAAGCCCTTTCCGACTTCTCTCAACACAAGGCAAACCAGAGCTGCTGCTGCTGCCCTGGGAATTCTGCTCCATCCCACAGCTAAAGGGTTAAGAGG